AATAAATGAGTTAAATTCGTATAATGCTTAAAATAAGACCTGGGGAACGCAAAGTAAGCGCTTCAGGTTTATTTAGTAAATAGTTGATGGGAACTACTGCAGGCAGGACTTGTCTCCACTCTGATCAGCCTCAGCCTACTGGGGAAAGGGCTGCCCAGTGGGAGAGCGTTTCCGAGGAAGAGTATGGTGTGCAAGGGGTGTGACCACCAGCCCCTGGGCCACGCCAAGGGCCTCCCTGAGGAAGTGACGTTTGTGGAAAGCTGGGATTGTAATTGGTAGAGCCGTAGGGCTGTTTCTCCATGGGGCATTGACTTTGTATTTTGCCTGGTTCTGTTGAGACGGCTCCTGGTGCCCAAGCTCCCCGATATTCAGAAAAAGGAGAGGAGGTCTTGGGGTTGGAACAGGTCTGTTCTGAGCTGAGCAGAGGAAGCCTGAGGCCATAGAACGCAGGGCTGTAGACACAGCATTTCTGGGACTCTCGCTACCAGGGGAAGCAGCTGTATCTCCCTGGCCAGGGGCCTAGCCTGACGAGGGGGAAACAGGATCAAACAAAGAAAGGTGTCGTTCCCCACGTTGTCCACTTGGGGGAGCATTTTAGCCAAAGAAAGGGCCTTAGTACATATTGACGTCCTAACAGTGGTTCTCAACCTTCTGGCCCTTTAAATACAGTTCCTCATGTCGTGGTGACCCCCAACCATAAAATTATTTTCGTTGCTACTTCATAACTGTAATGTTGCTACTGTTATGAATCGTCATGTAAATATCTGATATGCAGGATGGCCTTAGGCAACCCCTGTGAAAGGGTCATTCGACCGCCAAAGGGGTTGCGACCCACAGGTTGAGAACCGCTGTAGGATGTCTGCTTTGGAGAAGATAGATGTGAGATTGAATTTGTGACGAATCAGGCCCATCAAAAACCCCCTCCACAGGTAACATTCATCAAAGTCCTCAAACCTGTGGGCTGTGCCAAGGCCTATCCTGGTCAAAGGAAATCCTCTATGGGCGAAACAGATTTTAAAATCTCTGAGCCAGAAAGTGGCCATAGGAGACCCTTTATCCCACTGGAAATGTGAGGGCCAAGAGGGGGGAGCCTTGACCAAGGCCGCACAGCCAGGCTCACTGTGTCAGACCAGCCAGAACCCAGGCCTCCTGAGTTCCTGGTCGTGGCTCTGTCACTCTGAACTGTGTCTGAGTCCCTCAGATGGGTTTCCTTGCCCTAAAGACCGTCCACTGTAGGTATGAACCTATATATTTTATGAACAGATGAAAAAGCATGAGAAAACTGATGCTGAGAGGTGGGTACAGCTCCCTCTAGTGGTGGACTCCTCTCGGGTCTCCAGCGTGGAGGCCTCCCCGTCCTCCCTGGGACTGGCCTTCTCAGCAACCTGCTTTCTGTCTCAGCCCCTCTCCTCCCTTCTGCTCCCCTGTTCCCTCCTCAAAGATGTTTCCTGGACCTCCCATCCTAAAGGGCCACCCTCTACCCACTGTCACAGGCTCTCCCTGGACCCGCGTGCGCGCGGGGCGCAACAACAAAACCCAAAAAGAGCAGAGCTTTGGTTTTTTGGAACCGGGTTGTCCCGGGGATTACTGTCTGTCTCCCCGTCGGATGTAAGCTCTGTGATTCAGGGTTACAGTGTATCTAACCCCCAGTAACCAGAAGAGTGTCTGGTACACAAATGTATGTAATTAACACCTTAATGAAAGACCCATGGCTTCAAACCCTCATGTATCTATACAATGGATTATGGTGCAGATCAAATTAAATAGTATATAAAATGACCTGGCTGCCTGTCGAGAATAAATAAACGCAAGGGGTGCCCACGCACAGAGGGATGGACTGAAAACTGTTAGCAAAAGCAAGGGGCCTGTCTCATATCCTGTGACAGTAACTGACATGTATTTGCATGAATTTGTTTATTTTGTTATACTCCTTCTTGTTCCAAAACAAAACAAAAATACCTGCTATCGGCACAGCAAGATACACACGGCTCAGTCCGGCGCGGCCACAGAGCTGGGAGAGTGTGAGGTGTTGCCTTGGGCTGCGGCTGGTTTGCTGCATGCAGAGTTGACTCAGAAATGTCAGAAGCACTTGCTGTTTACAGAATAAATGCAAGTGGGTGAGCAACAAGGCGAAGGAAAACAAAATTAGGAAGCTAAACGGCAGCTGGAGAAAAGGCTGGTACATAAAAAGCAGACCATGAAGAAACATCATTAGAAAGAGTGGGGCGCAAATTTAGGTCCTCGTGTCCACGTGGACGGACAGTGGGAAACCTGATCGTCACAGCACATGTCGGTGGCGGTGTCGCCGTCAGGGCTGGGCTGCGAGGCCCAAAGTGAGTCTGGGATCTGGGGGCAGTGACTTTCTACACTGGGGTGTCTTTCTGTTAATACTCAGCTGGTCATAAGCCAGACTTGAAAGCCAAACTGAAATTTTAAAAATCATCCCTTTGCGCCCGGCCAGTGTGGCTCAGTGGATTGAGCGTTGACCCAAGAGGTCACTGGTTCCATTCCCAGTGGCGGCAGGTGCCTGGGTTGTGGGCTTGATCCCCAATGGGGGGGCGTGCAGGAGGCAGCCAATCGATGTTCCTCTCACACATATTGATGTTTCTCTCCCTCTTTCTTTCTCTCTCTAAAATCAATTTTTTAAAAATTATCCCGTTGCCCTGGTACTTTTCATCTTTTGCAAGTCAACAGGAAATTCAAAGTCTCTGACTTTAAATAGCTCCCAGTGTTTGTTTTTTCAGTAACATATAAAAAACATATAAGAAAAGTAGAGCAAATTCTAAATAAAGATAAGCCAATGAGATTGGGACAACTGGGAACACTTTGTGAAGCTGACCTCAAAAAAGACAAGACACAAGGCTGTCTCCGTCGGAAATCTTTCCCCCTATAATTTCTAAAGAAAGCAGAGATCGCTCATGCTTGGAGTGGCTGTCCGTGGCCCCATCTTTAACAGCAGACTATTCACCATGGGAAGGAGCTGGATGCTGTGATGGGTTTTAATGATGAGATCTCCAAGGTCCCGGCTTCCTGGACACGAAAAGTGATGCCTTCTTGTCAGCCAGACTCTCAGCAGGAGGCCCTCTGGCCACACAGAGGCTCGGCTGCAGGCCCCTGAACTTCCCTTTTCCTTCCACCCCCTGCAAACCCTGTGAGCTCCAAGGCCCTCGCGGTGTCCAAAGCTGGTCTCTTACTGAAGGAAGACAAAAACTGGGCCTGAGTCCTAAGAGCCAGAGACCCCTGTAAAATGGAAAGACATGCCCGTCTGGTGTGGCTCAGTGATCGAGTGTCAACCTATGAACCAGGAGGTCAGGGTTCGATTCCCGGTCAGGGCACATGCCTGGATCACAGCCTGATCCCCAGTGTGAGGTGTGCAAGAGGCAGCCGATCAATGATTCGCTCTCATCCTTGATGTTTCTATCTCTCTCCCCCCCTCCCTTCCTCTCTGAAATCAATAAAAATGTATTTTTAATAAATAAAGTGGAAAGATGTGGCCAGACTGTTGTGTGACCAGAAGACACGGTCAAGGGTCACTGAGAAGATGGCTGTCTGCAGGGGAGTTGTCCTGCGTCAGGTTCGAGCCGCCAGGAGCACCGGGCTCCCTGGTGGAGCTGAGTCCTCTGGGTGGCAGTTAGAAACAATCGCAGACAAGTTGCTAATTTCTCTGACTCTCAGCTCCCCTGAGAAATGAGCCCTGATCACGTCTGCCCTGGTCGCCTGCTGGAATCAAGAAGAAAATGGAACAGAAAGGGTTCACAAGCCATTACTACTAGGAACTAACAAGACATTATTATAATAACCTATGACCCAGCATCTCCAGCGAGAATGAAGTAGGTATAGTAGCTACCATGTAGGCACCGGCTCTGTATCATGCTTTTCCATCTATACATTCCAGACCTAACAATATAGTTACAAGTATCCGCATTTGACATGGGGGGCAGCTGAGACCCAGGGAGGGAGAGTGACCCCCAAAGCCCATTCAGCTGTTAAAAGGCAGAGTGGGGATTTGAACTCACACCTGTCACTCTGTGTCTAATAAAGAGGCAAAGGGTAAAAGTGATACATTAGGGGTTCACGTGAAAAGAAAAATAGGACGGGGATGATAGCCGAAAACCTCCGGTTTCTGAGGAAGGCTGCTGAACTTGTATTTAATTTAAAAATGGGGACAGTTGTCATGCCGTCGGCAGAGTTGGGCAGTGGGCAGGGTGGTAGGAGGGAACGGTGGTCCTGGGCAGGCCAGAGGCCCTGGAGCCCTTCAATGTGGAGGGCAGGCCGGGAAAGGGTGTCCCCGTACCCTTGGCCCAGGGGCTGGTGGAGCCATGTGGGCATGGCAAGTGGCCAGCCAGGGCTGGGCTTCTAAGAAGGGAGGACAGGAGATAGGACAGCAGAAGGTGAAGTCCACTTCGGGACTCCCTCTCGTTCCCACATCAGCAGTGAGCAGACAGGGGACGGGCACGCGGTCCCCAGGGAGGGACAGGCTGGTTACCTCCCTGGATAACAGGAGATTCGATGATGGCTGAGGCGCTGCGCACGTCCTAACGTCTTGTCTCCACTTGCTCCCTGGTGCCACAGTCCCCTCTCTCTCACCTCTCATCTTCTTTCCCTCCCTCCCTCCAAGTTCACCTCTCACCTCTCATCTTCTCCCCCTCCCTCCAAGTTCACCTCTCGTCTTTGACCTTCCTGGCCTCAATTCCTAGTGTCCTCGGCTTTCCCTCCTGCCTCCTCCCTCTCCACCCTCTGACAGACCGTATCAGCGAATCCCTCAACAGTGGCACGGAGAACTTTTCTTATTCGTCGCATGATTTATTTTTAGCCTGAGACAAGTGCATCCTAAAAATGGAGTTCCTGATGGGCCGGGGCTGGGCAGAGCTATGCGCGGTATCTGGGCTTGGCCGCCCAGCCTGGCTCAGTCCACACGTGCATGTGTGTGTATGTGTGTGTGTGTGTGTATGAGAGCCTCGGCTCCCTCCTTCCTGAGCTCACAACTGCAGCAGCCAGACCCGAGGAGGTGAAGACTCAGTTCCAGGGCCCAGCAAGGGCAGGAGGGACAGACCAGCCTCCCTGCCCCCCGCCTCTCTCAACAAGCCCCTAAGAGTTTTTCCTCTTTTGTCCTGCACTCAGCATTGCTGGGCAGGACACCCCACTTCTCCCCGATGAAGCGGACGCACCTGTTTGTGGTGGGGGTCTGCCTGCTGTCCTCCTGCCGGGCGGAGGAAGGGCTGAACTTTCCCACGTACGACGGCAAGGACCGTGTGGTGAGTCTCACGGACAAGAACCTCAAGCAGGTCCTGAAGAGGTACGACCTGCTGTGCCTCTACTACCACGAGCCCGTGTCTTCGGACAAGGTCGCTCAGAAGCAGTTCCAGCTGAAGGAGATCGTGCTGGAGGTGAGCGGGGCGCTGATGCTGTCCCGGGAGCTGGGGCTGGCCGGCGGGGCTGGAGGCAGGAGGGGCAGGGTCCCCGTCCTGAACTCTCCCTACACCCTTGTGTCAGGTGAATGGGAGGTACTCTTGTTGCACAGTTGGGATGAGGGAACAAGCATGGGCCCAGACGCCGACAATGGGGACCATGGACTGTGGCTGTCCCATGCAGGTCCTCTCGATTTTTCAAGGGCATTAGCACAGCCATGTTTTTCGAAATGTCAAAACTATTGTTAAAAGGCCTGGCTGACATGGGATTCGGGGTTGGTGGTGGGTTTCACTTGGAGTGCTGTTGGCCCACTGGGGGTGCTGATGGCCCACTCGGGGTGCTGATGGTTCAATGGGTGTGCTGATGGCCCACTTGGGGTGCTGATGGCCCACTTGGGGTGCTGATGGCCCACTGGGTGTGCTGATGGCCCACTCGGGGTGCTGATGGCCCACTGGGTGTGCTGATGGCCCACTAGGTGTGCTGATGGTCCACTCAGGGTGCTGATGGCCCACTCGGGGTGCTGATGGCCCACTTGGGGTGCTGATGGCCCACTGGGTGTGCTGATGGTCCACTAGGGGTGCTGATGACTCACTCAGGGTGCTGATGGCCCACTCAAGGTGCTGATGACCCACTTGGGGTGCTGATGGCCCACTCGGGGTGCTGATGGCCCACTTGGGGTGCTGATGACCCACTGGGTGTGCTGATGATCCACTAGGGGTGCTGATGACCCACTCGGGGTGCTGATGGCCCATTTAGGGTGCTGTTGGCCCACTAGGGGTGCTGATGGCCCACTTGGGGTGCTGATGGTTCAATGATGTGCTGATGGCCCACTGGGTGTGCTGATGGCCCATTGAGTGTGCTGATGGCCCACTCTTTGCACCCTCCCCGAGATCCCGGAGACAGGGGAGACCTTGACCTTGCGTCTCTTGGTGGGTCAGTGGGGAAAGTCACCAGGTGATGCTCCTTCCCTGTGGTTGGATTTGGTCAACATCACACTGTGTGTGTGTGTGTGTGTGTGTGTGTGTGTGTGTATATGAAGACTCAGTAATGGGATCTCTTTTCCTCAGAAAGTTCTTGGTGTGAGTTCAGGGCCGACACTGAAGTCAGTTCTTATTTTATCTGCATTACGTGGCCCGTTAATAAACCTGGCGCTGGGGCCCATTCTCGAATGCGGGGAGCGCGCCCTAGAACTCCCCTGGGCAGTCTAAGGTCGCTCACACCCAGGAGCGCCCTGAGTGCCAAGAGTCCCAGGAGTCACCAGGTCCCTATCAGTCCCCATGCCCAGCCCTGCCCAGCCCAGGCGCAAACCTGTGAAAAGGACTATTTGAGAAAAATAGCCATTTATTAACCATCAGAAAGCTCGCCTTCATCAAATACTTTGATGAACAGAATTACCATATAAACCCTTGTGGACTTGAATGCTAAAAAAATAAATAAAAATTTAATTGACTAATAAAAGCCACCCCAAGCACATCCAAATATCTTTGCTGATTTAAGAAGCACTTCAGAATCCTAAGTGTCTCCTGGTGGCCACACAAGCACCTATTTCGGAGGCTTCATGCATGGCGTGTGGTCAGCAGGAGAGCTCTAGTTGACAGACAGCGAAGTGTTTTTAAAACACCACCACTGCCGTTAGATTTTCCTCAGCTCCCTCTGCGGGCTGGAGGTGGACGTTGGGTGCCCTCTGTGGGCGGCAAGTGAAGAGAAGCAGGGACAGCTCTTACGTCTTGGTAATGTGCACACGGGAACATCGCAGGTGGGTAAAACCAGGGCTGCTTAGCCCGTAAAATCCTCACTCCTATCAGCGTCTCCACCTCAAACTGCCCTACTCAATTACTGAGAGGCATTTTCATGAAAAGTTTAAGCGAAGGCATAATGAATCTATGTATATGCTCCTCACTGTCCCGTTAGCCTAGAATTCACAAAATTAAAAAATGCCAGTGCAAGCAGTGACCCCCGTTTCTGACTGCGTGTCAAACTAAAACACACACACACACACACACACTCCCCCAGGAGTACATCTCCCTCGAAGACCAATACAAAATCCCCAGAGGGTCTTGTCTCCAGGCTCATATCCCTGCAGACACCTCTGACCCAAGAGCACCCGGCAGGGACGGACAAGGGGGAGGTTCGCACAGGAAGTCGGAGCCCCAGAGCACCCCAAGCTGGAGTGGATGTCAGTAGAGGGAGGAGAATACAGACTGTGGGGTCAGGAGATCATCACATTTACAGGATAATAATTATACATGCTTACGAGATCATTTGATGAAAATGAACATTTGTTGAATGCTTACTGTGTACAAGGGCTGCTGTAAGCACTTTGTACATGTGAGCTGCTTTGGTCCTGACAACATTTCTATGACGTAGGTGCCTTACTATCCCCATTTCACATATGGGGAAACCGAGGCACGGAGAGGCCACGTTGCCCAAGATCACTCAACTAGTGCAGGTGAAGGCAGTCTTGTCCCTACACGGCACTGCTGCTGGGGTCATGAGACAGGTGTGAGGCTCAGTCTGGAGCCCAGGTCTGATGATGCCAGCTGCTCCCCAGCAGGGCTGAGCAGTGCACAACCTGGAGGTACTCCTGAGGCAAATGCCCAAACCGTGGAGGAGGCTGGGCATCCCTCCAGAAGGCGGGGCGGGGGCGGCCTTTGTTGAGATACCTGTCAGGTGTAGGCTGTTTCTCAGAACCCAGGACCAAAAAACACTTCCAGAAAATCCGTGGGTGGGAAGGGAGGGTAGATGTGAGCTTCTAACTATTCTTCATGGTCAAAACAATTATTTTGTCCTCTTTTAAAAAATAGATATGTTTCGCTGAAACCGGTTTGGCTCAGTGGATAGAGCGTCGGCTTGCGGACTGAAAGGTCCCAGGTTCGATTCCGGTCAAGGGCATGTACCTTGGTTGCGGGCACATCCCCAGTAGGAGGTGTGCAGGAGGCAGCTGATCAATGTTTCTCTCTCATCGATGTTTCTAACTCTCTATCTCTCTCCCTCCCTCTCTATAAAAAATCAATAAAATATATTTTAAAAAAATAGATATGTTTTATTGATTTCAGAGAGGAAGTGAGAGGGAGAGAGAGGTAGAAACATCAATGATGAGAGAGAATCATTCATCAGCAGCCTCCTGCCTGCCCCCTACTGGGGATTGAGCCCTAAACCTGGGCATATGCCCTGACGGGAATTGAACGTTGACCTCCTGGTTCATAGGTCAATGGTCAACCACTGAGCCACACTTGCCAGGCTATTTTGTCCCCTGACCGCCCCCACCCCCCCGCCACTGCTCCCAAACGTGCACAAAGGAAACTCTGACTGGGAAGCCGTGGTGGCACACGCCACCTCTCCAGCACTTCGTCCCCAGAGGAACTGTGATGCTGGGGGGACCTCTGGCAGTGTCTGTGAGGCCATTCACATACCTTATCATAGTATGTTGTTATAATTGTTCTATTTTAGTATTAGTTATTGTTATTAATAACTTACTGTGCCTACTTAATAAGTTAAACTTTATCATAGGTAGCATGTATAGGAAAAAACATAGTATGTATAGGGTTTGGTACTATCCTCGGTTTTAGGCATCCATTGAGCATCTCGGAACGTATCCCCGGCGGATAAGAGGGGACTACTGTATACATTTGTTGGATTAGGAGAAACTATGGAGGGTCTTCTCAGGCAGGTTAGTGAGTGTTTTAGAATATGAAACTAAGTATTGTGAATCCCTGACCAGAAATATTAATTCATCAAATATCCACGGATCTGAGCATTCTTAGTAATCTTTGCATTAATAAAAGAACGAAAGAGCCAATGAACGGATGACGAAAGAGCAATGCTTTCCACACTGTGAACAGTACAAACTGGTTCATTTGTTTGGGGTGAACTAGGTCCCTTGCACTGGCAGGCAAGCTGGGGTCGTGGCACAGAAATAGCCACACCATCCAGGTGCCTGCACGCCAGGGTGACCCACAGCTCCTGCTGATTTAGACAGGACTCAGCTAGGGTGGGAGGTTCCCGAGCACCCCCTTTCTCCTCTCTGCCTCTCTCTGTTTGTCCCATGGCGCTTTGCTGTCCCACTGCATATTGGAGAGAGAGAATCATTGATTGGCTGCCTCCTGCACGCCCACAACCTGGGCATGTGCCCTGACTAGGAATCGAACCGTGCCCTCCTGGTTCATAGGTCGATGCTCAACCACTGAGCCATGCCAGCTGGGCTCCTTTATTTCTTTTTAAATTAGATTAATGTTTTAAAAAGAATTGAACATAGTAAAAAAAAATTAGATTAAGTCTGTCAGATTCAAGGACCTGCTGGTCCTCCTTGCTCAATCCCACTGACATATGGTGAAAACTGCATTTTTAGCCATGGGACTCTCAGTCCAATATAGGCACAGCCTGGGCAGGAACCTCAGGCACGGCAAGGCTGGCCCAGCCCTCAAACCCCTTTAGCTCTGGCAAGTGTCCCAGAGGTTTTATTTCTAACCCCCAAGAGAGGGAGGCAATGAAGTGGCCGGAGTCAAGTAAATCTGCAGATGGGGCGACGTGGGAACACTGGGCAGAGAATAGCAGCGCCCGCGGGTTCGGCATTTCTTCCAGCTGTTCGTGCCCAAAGACGGCCTCTCCACACGCGCACCTGCCGCGCCCGGAAAGATCCGTGAGGTCAGGCTGGGCTTTGGGGCGAGTCCTCACACGGAGCCGGCGCTCTCTCGGAGGATGTGTGCGCATGCTCAGTCTCACACTGCCCTCTCAGAGCCCGAGTGCCCCGACCACGTGACGGGAGTTTGCTGTGCGGGTCTGTGATAAAGCCCGTGCCTGGGTGAGATGGCAGAGAGACAAGAAGTGCTATTGCCAGAGCATGGACTGTATTGATCATAGGCAAATTCTTCCTTCCGCATACAGGATTAATAGGGAGACGGATTTTACAACGTGGCCAACACACTGTCGACTCAGGAGGTTTTAGACCAGGGATGGGGAACCTTTTCTTGCCCAGGGC